GCTTTGATTGACTTCCAGATATGTGCCATGATGTGTTGCACATTATTGTCATACTTGATCTTGTCAGCTCCATAGACCTGTGAAGATTTGGGTTAGAATAGGTCTTCAGCAAGCCATGCTTGTTGTAAAAGGCGAATATGCTTGTCGTAAGAGGCGACTAACAGGATCGGGTGGTCAGACTCGCTGACTTGGTTGATGCATATCATTGTATGCCAATTGCATGGATCGATGCTCATGATGTCAATCACTGGATTGTCTGGTCAAGACTCGATTATTTAAAGACCGCCGTCATATAACTGGAATATTACTGAGTGCGGTGTTAAACAACAAACAAACCAAACCAAACCAAACCATAAATCTCACCTAAACAGTTTAGGTATGTCTCCATCTGAGTTTGCCCCAAGTAGGTAGCTCAGTTGATCACATTGTCAGTGAGATCTTTGATATCTCTCCATGCTACAATCATTTTCTTCCTCACTGGAGTCAGCTGGACATGGGAAAGTTCCTGAATAGAATAGTTGATGAGCAGTCTGTGCAACCGTAGCCACTTGTCTAAATCCTATGTGTCAAGAAAAAATTATTTTGTCAAAATTAAGGGAAAGGGTCTTCTGATAAAGATGAAGTTGGTAGACGCCAAGGTCATATTATCAAAAACACTCTTCCTTTGGTCAACTTGGGCATCTCGAACACAGCTTGACTGAGAGCCTCGGATGCATGTGAATGAAAGTATATTTATCATACATGATGTATTAGCATCAATAATATTTTACATCAATAATGTATTAGCTAGCTTGTATGGTCACTTTACTCATGTAGACTGATACCTATTTTAAGAAATATCTACAAATCACCAGGAGTAATATAAAATGTCCCCCTCTCATCATAGTGGTAATAATATAAACACTGGATGTCAGTGCATCTGACGAAATACGCTTGATAGCTTTCATAAATAGACTTTTTATGTTTTAGACGCTTTGAATAATTTCACACTCACAGTGCATATAATTATTTCCCATTTTCTTACTCTTGAACTCCCATGGACTTTCTAGAAAGGAATTTTAAATAGTGTTGCACCAATAAGTCGCTTAACTTGATAATATCTCCTGGAATTGTTAGACAGGTTGTCAGTCTGTGCGAGAATTGCATCTATTAGGTAGGCTTCTTGTCCTTGATCTATAATCTGTCACTTTTTGAACAAGTTTGAAGTATGACTTGGATCTTGACAGGTTTCTTTGTCAGTTTTCTCATTAAGGGATAGTGCCAGCATACCTTCTTCTGCCATTGATGTCTTCAGGAGGCTACTGTAGTTTTCTGGCTGCCTGGTTGATGACAAAGCAGGGAGGTTGAGGCCCATGAGCAGTACTGTTTGGAGGTCAATATTTTGACAAATTGATCAGTCTTGTCTGTTCCATGGCCAACAAATACTCGAATGCCATGTAATGGTGCAACAATGCATTCCTTTCTAATAACCAAAGTAACACTCCTTGCCATGTCAGCGTCAGAAACTAACAGGTCACCGGTCCTTATGATGATAACATATGAAGCGAAACCCTCAGAAAATTGCAAATTTCTACTAGTTCTATGATCCCTTTACTATCATGACTATTGGGCAGTTTGACAAGGACTACAGGACAAGTGCCAATTTCTAACACTGCAGACAGGTAAAGTTACTAACTAGCCATGTCTGAAGGTGTCCTTGATAGTTGGCAAGTCAGTATCTGTGTCTGTCAGTTCTGTGGTTGGGAATGTAACATATATTTTCATTGAAAACAATACTAATAGTTGAAACCTTATGTCAAATTGTCTGTTTTATTTAGGTTTAGAATGAAGATGCCTTCTTAAGTTATTATAGATAATGTGTTCATCATTAACTGATTTTTTTATTGAACATCATATAACATGATAATAAAACTTGACCTGTAGAGTGCTATTTTCATAAAAGTACCAATCGTTTTTGTACTTTTGTTTCTACCATGTTGCAATATTTTGACGTTTGCAGAATATATTTTGCTTCACTTATCTTTAGATCTAAGACCAGAAACTTTAAATGGCTGATATCAAAACAGTTCAATTTTAATTTCAATTCCGTTTCCATAGCAACAATTTTGTCAAGCTATATACCTAAAATAGCTCCGCAATGTTTGTACTTGATAATTTTATGATGACGTACTTGGCGTATGTGCTCAGGGTTTCCACATACAAGGAAATAACTAACCTTTTTTAGTCCACTAATCCTTATGATGATAACATATAGCAAAACCCTTAGACAAGTAAATTTCTACTAGTCCTTTACAATTGGGCAGTTTGGCAAGGACTACAAGACTAGTGCCCATTTCTAATGCTGACATAGAACAGTGATTGGGTCAATCTTTTTGAGAGTCCCAGAGATTTACAGAAATATTTTAAGGTGTCCTTGTCATGAAAATGGGGATCCAAGGTGACCACTGTACCAACAACAATACAACTTACAAGACAAGTATCTGTAAAGTCTTACTATTATCACAGAAGATCTCCTTATTTGAATCAGTCCAAAGTGATCAAGTTTTTATCTATTTCAAATATTTATTAACATGATAAATAATCATAAGGCTTAGAAATTTGAATCTTTATATGCATGAAAATGGACATAAGAAATTTAAAAGCATCATTTAAGGCATTTACTTTGGTAGACGTAGGGATTGTTTCTCTAGATTTTGTGGAACCAATTTCACCAAATCTCATGTTTCTCATAAGTGTTATAAGTTCTTTTTAAATCAATTACTTTTTAACACTAGACATTTTTCAGTGCTGACTTGCTTTTGTAAAGTGGCTGTCAATATTAACTTTAAACTTTGCCTACATATATTGCTGAGCAATGTTTGGTTAGTTCCTGATTAAAAATTACTTTCTCAGGGATGTTCACTTTTTGATTTAGAGCCGGGTGAACTGCAACTGCCTTGTCTCTTGGTCTTTGTGTTAATTCAGAGGGACAATACATCCATGGTTCTGTGTTTTTAAATCATGCATGAAATAATTTCCAAGTGTGACATCACATGCCCGATTCACTACTCAAACCGAAACAATAGAGCTCTGCACAGTGAAGCTGAAACCACAAGCGCTGCTATAAATTATAATACAAGTGGGAATTGTTTTATTGTTGTGGTCAATAAGAACATGTATGTAAAGTCACAGTGACCTTTGATGTCCTTGATTATGTTGTTATACGATATCATTATGCTGAGTCATTGTACGTTTGACATTCATACCATGCTTCCACATTAAACACCGATCACATCATTGAAATGATATCTGCTTTGTACAGCAATCCAACTTTGCACACTGGATGGTTGAAATTACCATTGCATAATAACTTTACAAATTGTTGTCCAAAAGATCCAATTTCTGAATTTCTATTAAATACCACTCTGTAAAATCATTTATTCTTAAAGAAATTATGTATTTCACATAGTTTATGCTCCAAAGCTTAAGAAAAAGGCATGCAACATTTAAAAAGATTCTTAAGTTATTGATCCTTGAATAACTTTTAGAAACATAAGTTTCAGGTTAGTATTTCATGTATCATTTCACCATTTGAAGATATGATTTATGGTTGCCATATTGGCCTCAGTGAAGATAAATATTTCAGTGTAAGCATCCAGTGATTATGGAGAGATTACAGTGTTTGACAAAAGCTCTGGTTCTTTGGTCCCATTCTAGAAAAGGACCAGTGGAGGGAATTGGATGATCTCATTTTCAAGTGTTTGTTTGTTTGTTTGTTCTTTTACACTGCACTCAGCAATATTCCAGCTGTATGACATAAACAGGGGTCTGTAAATAATCTGGTCTGGACAAGACATTATGAGCAACGATCTAAACAATTAGTATACGATGGCATGCATCAACCAAGTCTAACCACCTGATCTAGTAAGTCGCCTCTTATGACAAGCATAGTCACCTCTTTCGACAAGCATAGTCGCCTCTTAAGGCAAGTGTTGGTTTCTGAAGACCTATTCTCTACGGATCTTCACAGGTTAGTGCTATTTTGGCAGCATTGGTGATTATTTTCCAGTCAGAAACATATAGTAGCAGGTGACCTTGCCAAGATGAACATGACCAAGCTCACCTCTGTTCATTTCCTGATGAATGTCAGTATGTCTCATGATGATGATATCAATCAAGATGACTCAAAAACACCGAAAATCCACAGAATGTTCATATTAATCCAATTTCATTAAAACCCAGGGACGTAACTCCTAATAGAATTGTTTAGACGGATGACGTCACGACAATAGCAACTCTCCATTTGTGCATCATGGAATCTTCATTAGCTAATGAATGTCAACAGATACAACTGCCATCTTTAATTGAAGATTGCTACAGAATTATAACACGAATCAATGCATTAGAAGGTGTATTATGTCATCAGGTGAAAACAACAACAAAAACATCAGTAAATGATGACACCCCAGCTCTTTACCTGTGTTTTGCATGTATCTGGCTTTCTGTTATCTTGAAAGTGAATCTGTATTTGAAATGTGAATTATGCAGACACAACTAAGTAAGGTTGAACTTTGTATATGTTTCCTTTGTTTTAAACTGTTTTGTTCAGGATGTTAACCTTGCACTCTTTAAACATCATGTAACTTGTAGGTAGGTCTTTTCTTAATTGCCTATTTCTAACATCAGTGTTGATGGATTGTCTTCAGTACCTCTGTCAGGCTTGAGGGGACATGTATGTTCTGAAGCTATTTGTTGTGGCCTGAATGAAGGAAACTTTTTCAGGGTTAAGCTACAGACACAGGTATTCAACTTTGAAACAAAATCCATTATTTAAACACTTTTGATAAATTAATCCAAATAAATTGGTGTCATGTGATGTCTCAGACAACATTTTGTATTGGTGTATTGATTTTGTTTTGTTGTTTTAAGTTTTTGCTTGTTTTTTTTCTGCACAAAAGTCGCATTGACAGCTGAATGTTTAGGCTATTGATTAACAATTGTTTACCTAACATCCATTTCAGGTTACGGCACTTACACCTCTGACCCTGCAGGTGAGTGATCTTGATCATCAATATCATGGTCAGTCTGTGTTGGGTCAAGGGTCACCATAGGGTCATGGTCATGGTTATCACTAGCTCATCTCACACATATTCACAATGATTTTCTCATTTCACAAGGCAGGAAATATATTTCACCAAGCTTGTCCTCATGGGACCATCTTTGCTTTTCCAGTCCTTCTTGTTGTAAAGCCCCTTCATGCTGTCATCATGTATGCATTGTATGTTGCTTGTAAAGGGTCTACTCCAGGATAGTGTTAAAAATAAAGGACATTAACATATTAATATTATTCATAGCCTGAGAAATTCATGTTTTTTTAAGACTAGTCAAGTTCACTGTAAGTTATATTCAGTTCCAAATTGTGGCAATATTGAAGCATTGAGAATTGGTTCAGAATTATAACCCCCGCATGCTCTATGCTAGTAGTCCATGAGGACTACGATCAGTTGATTTTAACCTGTCCACGGCACAATTTGTAGTCACAGGCGAGCAGACTTGTGTGAATTTCGAAGGCTGATACATTGTTTGTATTTGTTTTTTTGTTTTTTTGTTTCAATTAAGAATTTGCTATCCTGGATTAGATTCTGCTTGTGGTAATTGGGTTGTGTGGTTGGTGAATCAAGGATAAACTGGTGTTTCTCCTGCATATATCAATGAGCTTACAGAAGGTGTTTTATTATGTCTCCTCAGCACTGTGTAATCAAGAGTTGAGTAGATGGTATACATGTGGATATCGTGATATACATGAAAATATAAATGAAATTAGTTGAAAATAGAGTCGTCATCTTTATGTTTCCAAGGTTATTTTCATGTAAGCAGATATGCAGACATTGGATTAACTGACATCATACAGTAATATTTTCTGTTCATTTGTAACTTTACATGTGGAGTTAAATATATCTCTGCCTACTTACTAGACGAGTTCACAGCCCCAGGGGAATTGTGGTAACCATGTCATTTTGTCATGTTTGTAGTCAGCTGTAAAAATGTTGTTTTTCTTAGATGTGGTTAAAATTATTATGCTAGGAAGGGAATGGCTCCTGACTACCATGCCTGTTGTAAGAGCTAATTTATATGTGGACTGGGTGGTTCAGATTTGTGACCTGGCTGATTGTGTGTCATTGTTCTCAACGGTGTGGGTCATTGACTCATTGCTCTTGCTTTCAACCACTTGTTTAATATGTTTTTATATATCTGTAATACTGCTGGCAGCAGCACAAGACAGCCCTCACTACCTCACTTTGTCTGTTAACTTAATGTGTCATTTATGTTCAATTATGTACCTGTGACTTGTCCTGTCTCCAGCTCTGTGCATCACAACTCAGGGGTGAAGCTGGGATCGCAGCCACTTAATACAACCCACGTTTTTTAAACTAAACTTGGATGCCATGGTGTCCTTTTCATAACCCTAATATTAAGAGTTAATAATCTATGGGGATCTTGCAATGAACCCCAAAACGCCTTATATTTTTGCAACACATATATCGGATCCAAACAACCAGCTCTTCTCACAAAACAAACGTTTCTTCTCCTGAAGAGTGGCACCCCTAAAAGTCTGGAATTTGACTTGCCCCTGGGATACCTTGAACATCAGATGAGCTGACTTGGAATAATGGGCTGAGCCAAGTTTCAACTCTGGCTGCAGGTGTAAATACCCTCCCTCCATATTGAGTTAAAATATACCAGAAAGCTAGTACTTCAAATTGTGTAAAAAACAAATTGACTTACAAGAAACCCTAATTTACCTAATAATCCCATTTGTGTGTTTTTTTGTTTTGTTTGTTTGTTGAAAGTTGGAAATGTAATGTATTCTTGTCCCCAAGATATGAATGCACTGTTGCATACAGTAGGTTTATTGTGTTACAGTGTAATAGGTAAATCATGATGGCTATGTTAATGTACTCCCATTGTCACAGACTCACAACCCCATCCGTATCATCTGGGACTTTCAAAATCTATTTGATGATTTACTCAAAAGAAATAGTGACAATGTATGAAGAAGTTACTGCTAGCATCTGTTGTAAATGTGGAAGCACATCATGATCCTGACTTCTGTTTGTCTCTCCAGTGAAGTTACTACCAATATGGAATCAACATATTATATAGAGAGCCACATTGATCTTTTTCCCATTAGAGTATCAAGTAATTAGGAGTGTAGCCCGAGGTAGCCGACTATGAAAAGACATAATTGACTATAGTGTGTCACAGTCTCGCTATAACTCAGCAGTAATTGAATTGTCTTCTGGCATTTTCCTTGCTTAAAATGTCATCTCTAACTTCCATCAGGTTAGCTGTCATCAGACCAGCATGGCCACAGATTGAGATTATCACCATGTTCTAAATAACCCATAGAACAGGGATGAGAATAAACTCTTTCACAATACTCTTCAATTACCCTTCCTCCCTCAGATAAATTTGTGACCACTACATTTGGATTGTTACGAACACAGCTGTTGAATGTGAAGAAATATCCAAGTTGCTCAATATCAGTTCAATAAATGAGGCATTCTGTGTAGAAGAAACTTAACGTCTAAGAAATAACCTTTTCTGAATTAAAGCATCAATCATAAATTGCAATATGCCTTTACCAAGTCTGTTGATAAGTGGAGAGTCCACTATATATGAAATATAACCTTCATATGCAAGGATTTATGTACTTCACCTGAACCAGAGATTCTCACAAGCTTATGAAGTGAACGCACAGCTGTCTCCCATGTTATTAAACCAATGGTGTCATGAAAGGGGTGTCAGTATGTATGTGTCTGTATGGCTCCATTTTCAAAGTGTGTTTGACCTTGTCAGTAAGTATTCAAGATAATTTTACAATCCTTTAAATAGTTGTGGCGGAGTTTTGTAACCCTTTAAGTGGGTTGGTAAGGCAGATATCTTACGGCCGTTTCATGCAAACACCAAACAAGTAATGAGTACTTTCAGTCCATACTTTGATGCAAGATCTCCATGATTTTAACTGTTGTATGATTATGTGACACAGGACTTGCTACCTGACTAGAATACAACCCATCTGCACACTGCGCGATCCCCGTTCTGTCAGTAGACAGCTTGGTGCTATTGTACAAACCGGTCTTAGTGCTAAGATGATCGTAACTCTCATACCTGAACATAGATTTCCGACTGTCGTAGTGCTGAGGTGGTTTTGTACAACAGCACCCTGGTAATCAGCGGGATGTAGACCTTGTATACTTATTGAGATGTCACCACTGTGGCTGTGTGGATGTATATTCATATTCATATTTTCATATACTTCATATTCTTCAGCAGTCCATGCTTGCCGTAAGAGGCGACTGCTTGTCTTAAGAGGTGATTAATGGGATCGGGTGGTGAGGCTCACAACCTTGGTTGATACATGTCATCTTATCCCAATTGCGTAGATTGATGTCCGTGATGTCAATCACTGGATTGTCTGGTCCAAACTCGATTATTTACAGACCGCCGTCATATAGCTGGATTTCTGCTGAATGCGGCGTTAAACAACAAACAAATCATTTCTGCATTCCTTAATTTGAGTTTGACAGCGGCCATTTTGTCCTCAAACATGTCCTTTGTCAAGTGTAACTATTTGAAGTGGACAATCCTGTGTGAGTCGACATTGATCAATCAGTAGTTTTACTGACCAGAAACAGGTTACTTATAGGCCGCCATGATAGAGCTGGAATACTGCCAAATGCGGCATAAAACAAAATCGCTTTACTTTACATGCATACACTTTTGTAGTCATGAAAATGATTGTGCGTCATTATTTAATCAACATGCTGTCCTTCCCCTGAGAAATGTTAAAAAGGGTTTCAGGGTTTAGAGACAATGACGGCAACTAAATTTTCTCATTCAAAAAATGAATTGTTACTGAATAAAGGTGAGGTTTCAAGTGAGGTTGAGTGTCTTGGTCTTGGCAAAGAAATGGATTTGATTTTCTACATGGGTCATCCCTCACTTTGATATAGCTGGAACTAAAACCGTTCTCACTCACTCACTCACCAACTCTCACTCACTCACTCACTCATTCATCCACTCACCCTCTCACTCACTCACTCACTCAATCACTCACTCACTCACTCACCCTCTCACTCACTCACTCACTCACTCACCCTCTCACTCACTCACTCACTCACTCCAGGTGAGTGATCAAGGTCAGGTGATCATTATGGTTGAAACTGTCTACCATGTGCTGTTCTTTATGTTACAGGTCCCATAGACTTCAGTAACAAACACTTGTCAAGTAGTCACCCAGACCCCACACCTTCAGGTCTACCCGTCCACCCTGATGTGCGATTCAAGCACCTGCCTTTCTATGACGTCCTTGCTGAACTGATGAAGCCAACTAGTCTAGGTGAGTTAAATAGTTAAATCAGTCATTGTTGCGTTGCAGTAACTGCTGCAGAGATGTTTGTGTACATTGGCTAAATCAGGTCAACTCACTTGGTATTTTAGGCCAGGTACCATAATAACACAATGTCTTATCAAATATATATGTCCTTCTGACTTTGATGTAAGTGAGGTAAATTATTGATGAGTAAAGATGTAATCACCTAGGAAGGTGAAATTAATCATCTTGGAAAAAACCCCACAATTTTAAAGGTTGTATGTTCCAGAAATTGGTCTTTTTGGTCAGATTGTTTCTGTTCAGGGATGACTCCCTGGTAAATTTATGGTGCTTTTGTGATAAGAATTTGGACACATCTCCAGGTGGATATTTTTCCTTAAGTTTGTTTTTGTCTATGTTTGAACTTTTCTTACAGTTCCAAAGAACAATGGCAGATTCCAAGAGTCCTTCTTTGTCTTTCACCTGACACCTCAGCAAGCACAAGATATTGCCATGTCAAGGTAGGTGGACACTGAATAAATAGTCTGAAAATAGGTTGGGTGGATGTGATGCTGATGGAATAGCCTGAACATAGGTCGGGTGGATGTGATGCTGATGGAATAGCCTGAACATAGGTCGGGTGGATGTGATGCTGATGGAATAGCCTGAACATAGGTGGGGTGCATGTGATGCTGATGGAATAGCCTGAACATAGGTGGGGTGGATGTGATGCTGATGGAATAGCCTGAACATAGGTTGGGTGGATGTGATGCTGATGGAATAGCCTGAACATAGGTTGGGTTGGATGTGATGCTGATGGAATAGCCTGAACATAGGTTGGGTGGATGTGATGCTGATGGAATAGCCTGAACATAGGTTCGGTTGGATGTGATGCTGATGGAATAGCCTGAACATGGATGGGGTGGATGTGATGCTGATGGAATAGCCTGAACATAGGTGGGGTGGATGTGATGCTGATGGAATAGTCTGAACCTAGGTGGGTGGATGTGAAGCTGATGGAATAGCCTGAACATAGGTGGGTGGATGTGAAGCTGATGGAATAGCCTGAACATAGGTTGGGTGGATTTGATGCTGATGGAATAGAAAAAAAGTTGGGTGAACACAAAACTGATGGAATAGCTTGAACATCGGTGATGACCAGACTGATGTAAGAGCCTGTTGTGATATCCTTGTTCAGGGGAGCGTGTGGACATTCCACTGGTGGAATAGCCTGAGGTGGGCATGAGAGGAATAGTGTGAACAGTAGCGTAGCTTCCAACCCCTGATGGGTTAAAGGGTGTTGAAGCTGGCATCTGCATCAGGTGTCACAGAAGTCACTGTACTTATTCTCTCTGTATGTCGGGGGCACGGGGGACCAAGTCGTCTAGGGCGCTGCAGTTCGCTGTGCAGAGTTGCGTACAATGGGCATGCCAGAAACCTATGATTGTGTGTTTGAATCCTGGTTCACCTCGATTATGTTTCTAGGTTTGTCAGCACCATGATACACATGCTCATGGGTTTCACCGAAGTGTTAAACGTCCGAGACTTGCGTCACTTCGGGTTTTCCTCCCACATTAAGCTGACACACCGTGATGTAACTGTAATAATGGTCACTCACTCACTCACTCACTCACTCACTCACTCACTCACTCACTCACTCACTCACTCACTCACTCACTCACTCACTCACTCACTCACTCACTCACTCACTCACTGTATGTCATGGGTGCAAGTCAGGAGCAAGTGTTACACATTTCACTGGAGTCCAGGTTGAAATGAAGCAGAAATGTTGTGGCACACAGGCACAAGTCACATGCACCAACATGGCAGCATTCATTGTCAGATGGCTGTTTTCTGGCCTCGCCCCCACCCCCTCTGAATCCCTCATGTTTGTACACACAGATTCTCCACCACATGGTGCTGATGCACATGCTTTGTTATCATACTCTTGTCCCAAGGCTACTTTTGAAAACTTGCTTTTCTCAAATTTTATGGCACTATGCTTTGTTCATGTCCAACATATAATTGATATATTCTCATTGTAGGGATTTCCGGCCAGGGGCCAAGTGTGAATATACAGTCCAAGTACAGCTCAGGTAGGTCAGATACTTACCTGTGCAAAATATGTCATTGTTGAATTTAGTTACTGTGACGAGAATACCTACCGCAAATTGATCCTATATCACTGTTGATGTTTGTTGCAGGTTTTGTTTGCTAGAAACAAGTTGTGAACAAGAGGACAATTTCCCTCCTAGTATCTGTGTGCGGGTCAATGGGAAAATGGCACCATTGCCTGTAAGTTTTTCTTGGACTTTTAGGGACATATTAATGTAAAATATTGTTTATTGCAGTTTCTCTTTTCACGTGAATCAAATATTTTTGGTTCTGAGAAGAATAATAGCATAAAAAAAATATTTTAAAAAAATGAATTACCTTAACTGATACAAAAATACTATAATTTTTAATACCACTTTTGTTTTTGCTATTCAAGTTTTGTGGTGCCACCTCTCTGACTGATTTCCTCAGCTGGTAATCCTGTGGCACTGGTGTAGTAATGTTCCAGGCTAAGTCTACTAAACATTAACATTCTTAAAAGGTCGCACAACTCTGGATACCAATTACATGCAAATGGTTTGGCTATCACACAAGTACTGATTCACTCCCTGATGTTAATGTGTGTGTTTTCACATTGTTTGATCAACATTTGCTACTTTTCAGAATCCTATTCCCACAAGTAAACCAGGTATAGAACCCAAACGACCGGGCAGGTCAGTCGACATAACCTCCATATGTCGCTTATCACCAACCGTATCTAATCAGTTGGATGTATCATGGGCCTCCGAGTTTGGACGGGTACGTCATGTCGCATGTCCTAGTGTAGTACACAGCTGTCCCACAATTGTACTTCTCTTTCAGATAATCACCAATAGAAGCAAACCATGTGTGGCGCGCCCACTGGACATTTCTTTTCTCACATCCAAAATAGAGAATATAACACAACAACTTCACTTGTCATGGTCGGTAGAAAATGAAAGCGGGGTGGTAGGTATAAAGGGAAATGAAAACTCACGGCACAGTTGAGCATTGTTCCTTAACACCCCAGACTGTAACGAGTCCCCGACAAGTGTTACATTGTTCCTTAACACCCCAGACTGTAACGAGTCACCGACAAGTGTTACATTGTTCCTTAACACCCCAGACTGTAACGAGTCACCGACAAGTGTTACATTGTTCCTTAACACCCCAGACTGTAATGAGTCACCGACAAGTGTTACATTGTTCCTTAACATCCCAGACTGTAACGAGTCACCGACAAGTGTTACATTGTTCCTTAACACCCCAGACTGTAACGAGTCACCGACAAGTGTTACATTGTTCCATCTCACTACTACTAACTGTTGACACAACAAGCATCTGATAAGAACCTTAGAAATGTCCAAGAATGTTGAATATCCAGCGATGTTTATTACAGATAGCTGATAAATTTCACTTCCTCAGTAAATACTTTGATTTTATCCTTCCTATTATATTTATATGAATATATTTGCTTAACTGTCTTGATGAATATATATTAGAGGTAAATTATTACTTTGAGGATTCAGCCAGTCACAATACAATTATATATTTACACCTATGATCCAAATTAGAGCTGCATAGAGCTAAGTTTCAATGTATTTTGTTGTTCCTGTATAATTTTTCGATTCATCAGAATAAGACAAAGATGTAAAGTACCATGAAAGGTTTTTGTGGTTTTTTAAATTGATGTATTCTTTGGATATTTTATTATCTCAATACATTCCTGGAAATGTTACTTTTGTGTTTGTTGCTTGTTGATATTACAGATGGACAGTTGTTGACCTAATTCCACGCATGACATTCTGTTCAGTTGTATTTCTGGTGATGGGAAACTCATTAATTTAGCAAAATAGTCTTGATGCGCTTCGGAACAAAAATACCCCTGCATGACACTAGTTTGTTGGATAAAAAAAATAAAAGGAAATCCTGACAATGATTATCCCACTTTTCAAGATTACAGAGGAAATGTTACACAAACTTTTGAAAAGCTCTGACAACAAATGTTTTCTTTCGATTTTGGCTGTGTTTAGCCTCAATTTTAGCCAATTGTTCTACCACTATCAAAAGTAACCAAATGTTTGTAATGCATATGTATATAAGTGGATGATAGGGGATATTTATATAATTTGCCCAGGGGTCTCCGCTGCAACCTACTGTACAGAGTTTCAGCCCTGACCCTGTGCCAGGGTCTGTGGGTTGTGGGTGTACATTCTAGAGGGACCCCAAAATGAGTATTGATCTGTCAGTGTCATGTCCATGGGCGTCATTCTCGTAGAAGCATCTAAGGCCTGGGATACTGGGAATTATTCCCAGTGCCTTGTTGAAACTGAAATGTTATACCAGGTACTCACCAACTCCCTGATTCACCACAGACCTGCTCCCACAGACCATGGTTCACATCTCATGCATTGTTTGTTTGTTGCAGGGCTACTGTCTGGCTATATACTTGGTGCGAAGACTGACATCAGATATATTGTTACAGAGGTTAAAACAGTTCGGAAATCGACATCCAGATCATACAAGAGCTCTCAGTAAGTTGCTTGACTCAAATATCGAAACTCTCAAAAGTTAAGACCCTTGGCGATGTGTCTCTAGAGCAATCAACATGTCTCTACTCTATTCTTCAACTGTTGATAATGTTGAATCTAATAATTGTTGGTTTATGTAAGGTGTCAAACCATGATAACATACTCCTGAATCAAACAAATATTAGTATCCAGATTTACCTATTCACAATAAAGACATAACCATGCAAGGCAGGATGTATGTTCTATCTATGATGTTTACAATTGTGAGGACCCAGCTGCTTATCATGTACCAGGGGCGGTCGGGTAGCCTACTGGTTAAAGCGTTAGCTTGTCATGATGAGAACCCGGGTTTGATTCCCCACATGGGTATAATGTGTGAAGCACAATTTTGGTGTCCCCCGCCGTGATATTGCTGGAATATTGCTAAAAGTGGTGTAAAACTCACTCACACACTCACTCACTATCATGTAACATTATCAATTGTTTGACAACATTGTCTTGTGATGACATCAATATTGCAGGTACATCATGCTGTCTCAATGCCAAGTGCAGAATAAAACAAATTTTGTGACATGTTTGTTTCAGTTAAAGAAAAATTAGCGCATGATCCTGACAGTGAAATAGCAACCACAAGTCTCCGAGTATCTCTCATCTGTCCCGTAAGTACACGCACTGAGACAATGTCATCTCGGAGAGAAAACTATATATTGACAATCACTGGCCTTTGGTAGCACACCATGGCACTGATTCACCATTTCTGGACAGTCCCCACATTCCTTTGCCCTTCATGGAAAGTCATTGAAACAACTGGGTTCCGGCCCCCCATACTGGTGGTAAAGGGCTTCCGCCCAGTACCAAATGTTTTCTGTAGGCCTCATTAGAACTGGACCCATGAAGATCCGGGGAAGAATAGGTCTTCAGCAACCCATACTTGCCATAAAAGGTAACTATGCTTGTCGTAAGCGGCGACTAACGGGATCGGGTGATCAGGCTTGCTGACTTGGTTGATGCATGTCATCGATCATATTTTTTACCACTGTTCGGTGGACGCTCTTTTTGATTTCCACTATCCTCTTGGCGACTGAGGCCATGACTACTTTGATGTCCAACACTAAGTCTTCTGAAGAGGCTTGTGTTGAGGATCTGTTGTGACGATTCAGGATAAGATCACAACCATCTTGGAACTCCTCTTACATCATGGCGGATTGGTCACTGTCCTTTTACGTCGGGTTGTCCTTCAACAATGTCAGTGGGACAATCCCTTTAAGGCGCGCCTGTACCCACTTCTTGGTCAGCTCAGTCACTCTTCGCAAATAAATATTCAAGGGATCGTGCAGGACGTTAACAGGGTCCAGTTTGAGAGGTTACAGAATGGGAAGGTTTTCCTGGGTCTTCTCTGGGATTTTATAGCGGAGAATCAGATTCCTAGACAACCAGATCGGCTGTTTACCATCCAGTTGCTGGCATCCATCTTAAGCCCTGTGCACCGTTAAGAGATCTCTTTATGTCCTGTTCAAGTCCTCCCATCAACCTTGAGGCTGCAGGACCATGGCCTTGCACAGCAACTGCACACTTTCCTCCATTATAGAAGGGTGCTTCTGGAAGTCGCATACTGTCTCCACTTCCCATCTCCGTGACATCCCCCTTACAAAGGTCCAGGGTCTTCACCAGTTTGGTTTGATTATTAACAGACAGCCATCATATATCTGGAGTATTGCTGAGTGCGGCGTTAAACAACAAACAAACAAAACAAAGCATATTTTAGTGCCCCTGTAAGGATCACGGGTTAGAATTGGTCCCCATCAACTAATGTTGGTCATAAGAAGCAACTTTATGAATCGGGTTGTCAGACCTTGTGACTTGGTTGATGGAGTGGCATCTTGGCATGGGTCATGAATGCTTGTTGAGACTTGATTATTTACAGGCTGCTGTCTTGTAGCGGAAATATCGCTGAGTGCAGCATAAAACAACAACCACTCACACACACACTTTCAGTAAGAGATTGATGTTATAAAGGTATTGAATGCAATGGGAGAGTAGGAATGGTTTGCCTATATGTATCACTTATCAATTGTGTTGTGCTCTTGGCTAGATGTTTCAGTTGTCTTAAGGCTGACTTTCATTGTTTGTGTTGATTCCAGTTGGGCAAGATGCGCATGCAGATTCCATGTCGAGCGAGTACGTGCACTCACCTCCAGTGTTTTGATGCCACCACGTTCCTCATGATGAATGAGAAAAAGCCGACATGGGTGTGCCCTGTGTGTGATAAACCTGCTCCTTTTGACAAGCTATTGATAGATGGGTATGTGTGCGGTCACCTCTGTGGCATCTGTGTACAGTTTTGCAACACAAAAGCAGAATCATCATTCTTTGTTACAGACTTTTGGAACCATGACTGATCGATTCCTAACTGTAGTATCAGTAGCAATATAAAGAAAAATTCTTATGTTTTTTAAACTCTCATCTTCATGTAAGAAACAGTATTTTGCTGTCATGAAAAAATGACTTCTTACCTCAAATCTTGCATTACACAATTGTGTTGAATATGTTTGTTATACCAGTTATGGATTGCTTGTTTCAGTGTCCCAACCCATCACAAAATCTGTGGTTTATGTTACATTGTAAACACATTTCATTGAATTTGTGAGTCTAATTAAGTGAAGTGTCAGGGCCTGTCAGTTTTGCCATCTACAAAGTTCCTTACTAGATATTTGTGTTTCCGAGTATAGTAAATTGTCAATTTGATTTTCCAACCATTGATAATCTTTGATATTGTATCCAATTCCTAGCAGACTTGGCACAAATTCATTATATTGTGGTATTGTATTGGTAACTATATGATTTTGTCAATATCCCAACTCGGTCCGGTTGATCATGATGATGGTCCATTTTTTATGAGCGGAAGCGGAAGTACTTCCGGTTATGTAAACGAATGAGAGCAACGGCGGGAATAAAAAAACCGAAATAGTACGCAAGCGTTAGAGAGCTTTATTTGATACTGTAAAAAGGTTTTACAGTGTCACAAAAGTTCAGATTGACAGTATACCTTTGTTCTTGGTTGAATACAGGAGCTTGTATGATGTGGAAATCTTGAATGAACTGTGAACTGTTGCAGGTATTTCGTGGAGATCTTCCGGAAGTCCCCCGAAGGAAGTGAGATTCAGTTCCACGAGGATGGCAGCTGGAGCCCCATGAAGCACAGCAAGGAAACACATGTGATATCTAGTCCCTCAGTGAAAGCCACAAGTTCCTCCTCGTCAGCTGCATCAGCCTCAACCTCCACCTCATCAGACAAAGGTAACCTTTAGTGCACTAGATTTAGATTCCTCTGCAGGCTGCTATTCAGGAGCATCTATTGTGCCGTTGGGGCGGTCGCTTGTCACACCGAAGACCCGGGTTTGATTCCCGACTGGGTACAATGTGTGAAGCCCATTTCTGGTGCCCCCCGCCGTGGTATTGCTGGAATATTGCTAAAAGATGCGTAACACCATACTTACTCGCTCACTTTTGAGCTGGTGTTACATTCTTTTCTACATTGTAGGGGTGTCATTGAGTGGAAATTTTAGTATCGATATATTGACTCTGATGATTCATTACAAATGGAATAATGATATGATTAATTGTTCTGTATGTGTACCAAATTGATTTGTCTATTTGGACCTGCTATTTAATGCTAAATATGAAGGAGGCTGATCACTGGAATATCAGCCTGGACCATACTTACTCGCTCACTTTTGAGCTGGTGTTACATTCTTTTCTACATTGTAGGGGTGTCATTGAGTGGAAATTTTAGTATCGATATATTGACTCTGATGATTCATTACAAATGGAATAATGATATGATTAATTGTTCTGTATGTGTACCAAATTGATTTGTCTATTTGGACCTGCTATTTAATGCTAAATATGAAGGAGGCTGATCACTGGAATATCAGCCTGGAATATTGATGACTACTCGTTAAACAACAAAGAAACAATCACAAGTTTGTCCTGAGGCCATGATCAAGATCTGGTCCTTGACCTGGTGTCTTTACAACCTGACCAACAATGCCCCACGCTTCTCGAGAAGACATACACCAATATTTTAACAGTTATTCTTAACTTTGATTGTTTATGGATTTTTTTTTCCTTTTTGTTTGTAGGTTCATCCAAAAAGAAATCTGTCGAAATTATTGACCTTACGATTGACAGTTCAGATGAAGAATCATCACCCCCCGCATCTGTGTCCAGCAGTCGACCATCAGAACAAGGGTGTGTGAGTCCCCCCGTTATAAACCTGGACACGCCGACGCCCCCACATGCCAGCTCCACACACTCTGTTTCTAGCAGTCCTTCAGGGGTGGCGCTCTCCACAACTCAGTCAAACCCCCAGTCCCCCCTTACCTCACCCCACCCTTCCCCCTCCCCCAACTCAGTCGCCTCCTTCTCGTCTGTCGAGTCGTCCTCGGCAGCAACTGTCATGAGTTTCATGCCCTCTGTTCCTCCACTCCTCCCATCCAGCAGCATGCTGCCTATCCCCCCTCCCTCCCTCCTCCCCCCATCCCTCGCCCCTTCAATTCCTGCCCCTGCTATCCCTCAGCACCGTCCCCCCTCCCTCATACCATCGTCCCAGACGCAAGGGCCAAGTCACAATCAGTACGGAACACTTAATCTTGATGCATTATCGGATCGTGAGTTTGAGGAGTTTCTTCAGGGTTTATCTTGGTGAAACGGCAACCCACGGAAAAACAAACTCAGGTTTATGACTCTGCTTGAGTATCGGTTCTCACGCTTCCAAGTAAGACAGCTGTCTGTATGCGTGCAAGCTGGTATCATTTGGCGTATTTATTTTGAATGCAAGCATTTTATAATAAACTTACAGAACGTCTGAAACATTGATTCCAGTATTTAAGTCTGTCCTACTTTTATTTTCATCACTGATAAACAACTTCGATATGACGCAATATTTTGTCCTCCTATTCACCAAAGGCAGCACATTGACAAGGCCAAAACATATCTGTATTAAAGATTACAAGACATTTGCTCTGAACCTTTTATTAACCTGCAAACGATAGAACCTTTTGCATGAAATTGTATTTGTAGATCTGAATTATTTCTTAATGATATGTCTGTTGTCTATGATCAGTGTAGTGTACAGGTGACCTCTCTGCTATGCTTGGTGCTGTGATAACTTAGCAGGGGGCCACTGTTGACCTGGCATATGAGTTACCTGGAGATGTTGTACTAGAATTTGACTGATGGAGATCAAAGGGGGACGGTTCCCCCAAACTTGGTACATTGTGATCAGGTTGGACCCATGACAAATGTGTATTTGTGCAGAGAAATGCGAATTTCTGATATTTTTTTTTTGTATAAAAAAACTTACCTCCACAGTCACATGCATCACATTTAAGGTGACGCATTTTGTCAATTTGGCAACTGCTGTGACCTTTTTACAAATTGTCCTGTGGCTGTTTCTCTTCAGTATTTCAGATCTGAAAATTAAAATTTAAATCCAAATGGATTTCGTACAAATCTTTATATACTCTGACAAATATCAAATCTGATTTATGGTTGTGCACATATTTTTTACAATTGAAAACGCTTTTCCCATTTGGCCTTTTTCCAGCAAGACCATAGTTCAGTAACCTTGATCACCTGACCTTCCTTCCCCAATTGTGTGTCTGTATGTCCCAATAAAGATGTCCAGTTGTTCAACTCTCACTCTCACTCTCCAATACCCCATCAAAACTTCACCCACCCCACCCCCGCCCCCTCCCCACCTCTGCCCCAAACAAACCCTTTTCCTCACACCCGCTCTACTCTATTTTTCATATCTTGCAAGTGCTTCAGGTGTGTTTTTGTGCCATCATGTTCACTAGATACATATGGAATAAGTAATATTCAATGTTGTCAAACATTGTTGTCTACCTTTACCCAAGTTGTTAACCCATTGCTTATCACACCTCATCAGGACTCCGGAAACTGTCACAACCAAACCCATCCATTTTTTGCCACCAAATTGGTGTGTTTCAAAAGTAAGGCTTGATAACAAAAGTTCTAAAAGTTACATTCAAACACACAAATTCCTGTTTCATAAAACCCTTGACTGCTCACTACAATGGAAGTTTGAGGTAATTGTCCATGAAAGATGTAGAACTGCCACCATGAGTCGTAAAATATACTGCCGGAGATACATATGATTTGATAGCCTGTTGTTCGTGTTGGGACTCGCCAATATTGTACTAATGTAGGTACGATTGCAATATAGAGTACTATATTTATGTTTTATGTGAACACTTAGTACGTTGAATTGCCAAGTGTCTGTAACTGTTTTATTAGTGTATGTTGATTTGATCTGTTAAGCACATGAAGTACGTACAAGTGTGTTTTAATGTGTAGAAATGTACATATTGATTTATTATGTGGACTGTACATACTAGTAGAAGCAAACCAACATGGAACATTCACACATCTTATCATTAACGATACAGGGCCGTTACAGAGATGTGTCACAAAGTGTTTCTTTTATACCATATTCCACACCAATAAAGGATGAATAAACAGCTGTCGAGTACTAGGAAATTTACACAGCAATAACCTTCTTTTCTAAGTTGTAATGGTGAAACAAATCCATGAGATCAATCAGAATTATCATTTGTTGCCAAATTCATTTGTCAAAGCAAGACTTGATAGACACGGTTTGATGCATCGTATTATCAGAGGATGCATGGTGGAGCGGGAGGAGACTTCATCATGAATGAACACAAAGCCATGTTATAAAGTGCTTTTGTTTTGCTAATTGTTGAAGGGTGAAATTTATGTTCCTCTACAGTGGCAGCAGAAAAATGGCTGTTTTCTTGCTTTTATTGAATCTCTCCCTGCTCCTACACGCACCTGCATGTATTGTTAGCTGTGTGTATGTTCAAACAGATTCAACTGCATCAATTATTTTCATGTCTCACACAAAAGAGATTATGTACATAGTGTCAGATATTTATGTTGGGGCGAATGTTTGGCTTCAAATTTGAAATCTGCATTGTAGATAGCAAATCTCTGCTTCTCAACATCATTTCAACTTTAACATGGAATTTTTCATGGGCTCAACAAAACTTCACAGGTATGCGTTTCTTTCCAATTTGAGCAAAAACATTCCTGTGAAACCTTTGTAGACAAAATTAACGAAACTGCCCAAATCGTCTTTTTTTTTAAACAGACATCAATTCCAATTTAAGGACAGATGACACTTAGAGAGTTATCATCTGCCTCCGAACAATACTCCAGTTCTCATGAAGTTGGTGCAGGGAGTTTGTGATGATGTTAGTAGCAGTTCTAGCTTGCATTTTTGTGCTCTTGTAAAAGACGCTGCTTCTTGCTTGTTGTCCATTAATCACTAGGAAACCAATATTCCGTGTACATTTCTAACTGTACATAATCTCTTGCCTATAACATCCACTGGTCATTCATGGCGGCTCCAACCAACTCATTTCTCTTTGTCAAATCAGTTGGTAAAGGGCTTATACAGACTTGTACAAAGTGTAATTAAAGTTATCATTAAAACAGATCCTTCTTTGTCTGTTGTCCTTTCCAAGCGTCTTTTATTTGGGCACAAAGATCAAGCTAGTTCTGTGAAGGAGGTGGAATAGCCAAGACAAATATATGTTGTGGTTGTGTCAGCGTGGTGAGAGGTACTGTTGCAGCTTACACTCTGACATCACCAAGGAACCATCCGGTCTCACTGGCTAAGGTGTGTGGAACACCTCACATAGGTTTGTTTCTGTGGATGAGAAAAGCTAAGGCCTTCCAACAGTCTGATCCAATTCCACACAATTCACCAGTCCGAGCTTACGATTGGAATTGACACTGAATTTCCCAAATGGAAGAGCTAATATTTGCTTACAATTTTTCACAAGAGTTGACAGCAATTATTTAATAAACCACACATTGCAGACTGCTTCAATGACATTTTAAAACATTTACAAATTTGAATCTGTTAGTCTATTTGTTGTGAATTACAAATACAATGATACCCTCTTTTCTCTATGAAATCATCTTGATTTATGACACGTGAACACTGAAGGGACTTGGTAGACATGTGAGAGTTTCATCGACCAGAAGGTAGGGTTCCCAGTTTAAAGGTTTATGGACTATCAAGGTTGTACATCGAATGAAAAGTTAAGGCTACGCTACATTGCTGTCCACCTTATGAATGTATCCACTACCTGTACTGACACAATGAAAACACACTATCAACTTTAATTCGACATCAGAAGAAATGTGTTCTAGTTCTCATGTCCATCTCCAAACATGTCCAACGAGAAACGAACCCGTGTGACGACAATGTGGCATTTGATTATCTCTACCTAAATACCTAGAACATTTTGATTTTTGTGGCCATTTTGCCAAATGTTGCAAAAATCGAATAAGCGTTTTCAAAGTGCATAGATTCAACATGTTACATCTCTTAGAGAAATTCAACACCAAAGTAACTTCTGTAAACACATGGGACAACACAGCTTAACATGACCCAGCACACACATTGCAACAAAGATGCAGTTTCATCATGTTTTGCCTCTCTTGATGAACATTGGACACACAAAATGTAGCAACATGGCCCTCATATTCATCAAGGGGAAAGTAGTCCAGGATGATATGCTGTATGTGTGATGTAGTGAGACACCCACCTATCAGCCATTGTAAACCAGAGAATATACTTGGTGTTTGTGGAGCAGAAAGAAATATTGTTTCTGAACCTGGATTTTGTACCCAGATTTGTCCATCTTTGCTGCACTTTTCCATTTAACACCTTAAAATTGTTTTTGCATATATAGGTCAAGGTCACCATCATGAGACAAGTATTAAAAGCGTGTGTTATGATAAGATAATGCCATACATTGTCTCTAGCATGGGGTTTTAGATTTATAACATTTTGGCTGACTGCCATCAAGTATAGAGGTCACCTACAAGGAAGTACGGTGCAAACAATCGATAACGATAGACGCGATCAATAAAATATAAATAATATGTCAAGGTCATTCTGATCACTTGCTTAAATAATAACAAACTATAAAAAATAACATTTCTCTATAAACCCTAACCATGTGCAATGTCGGCCAGACTTGTTAGGCCCAGTGAACAGGTAGCTACTATTTTCCCCTTTAAAAGGGTTTCTATCAGTATGAATTACAGTTTATATTTGTAACCAGTTGTAAATTATTCATTAAAATATGGATACCAGCAGCCTGATCCAATCAGAAAGACTTTGGAAATAGGCCACACCTGTTTGGGAGGCAATATGTCATATAACTGTCTACGTCAACTGGAGACAACAAAAATTACAGGAAAACTTAAGAGCATTCTCGTCCCTGTGCTTTCTCAGGCGTTCAATCATCATCGCATGTTGATTTGGTCCTCTGTCATCTGATTGGTACAATCATACATGTCTCTTCTATTTTCTTTATTTATAAGTTCAATCTGAATTTTGTATGATAATTTGTATCAGGAATTACCTGTGCGCTCCACTATTTGAATATTCATGCATATTAATGAGATTTGTTGCCACCTGTAATTTCAAATGACCATGAGGTCAGCTGTCACTTGATGAGAGGAATTTAAAAAAGTCATGATTGTTGGTTTGAGTGATAAATTTTGTAGTAAAAATGTCAGGGTGTTCAGGAAATAATTATTGGCTAGCTCTTTCCGAGTTCAACATGTACAGATCAAGCACCCTGTAATGGAATGTCCTCAGATATTTGTTTTGCGGTAGCCTTTCTCATTAAAATCACATCTTAGTTCTCACTCCTGCTAAACAAAGATCTGAGGACATCCCATTACGTGTCACCTAAGACCTACCTTTCCGAATTTTGACCAGCCATTGGAAAGATTGACAAGGAGTCGACATTAGCAAATCAGAAGGCAGCATTCTAGTAGTTTATGGCACTAACTGGTGACTACGCTTTGTTACATATTTGACATTCTCGATTACCTGGTAATAATTTCATAACGGAACAAACGAACATTCTGGAATGGCTAATAGATGGTCTAGAGTGTATGGATTCAGTTATAAAGCCTGTAACTGTCATTTGGAATACCCCGTGTTAAATGTTTTGAGTTTGCATGATCAGAAATCACATTCCGACTTATGATCATGATCACTTTCAAGGGACAACTGATTGGTCAGATGAAAGGTCATTTTGCCGTAACCCGTGATGGAATGTCCTCAGATCTTTGTTTAGCGGTAGCAAGAACTCTGATCTGATTTTAATGGGATTGGTGGTAGCGGGAACTCTGATCTGATTTGATAAGATTGGGTTCGACACAGCCATTTGTCTGCCTGTTCCAGATGTTGTACATGGAACTCAGCCGCATCACATGACAGATTGACTACTGTAACTTTTGAGTAGTTTGTGTGTTCAAGGCAGTGTCTATCTTGGCTGTCTCATCTAAGATTCAGTTAAATAGCAGAAGGGAACATGCAAATGCCATTTGACCTTGGAGTTCTGAGATGCTAAAATGAAAGAAGAATTACCATATCATAATAATGGCTCGATATGTTTGTGATGGACCCAAATTTAAAAAAACAAAACGTAGAAGTAAAATTGTATCAAAACCATCTTATTCATTATTTATCTAGAAAGAAAATTATCCAATGCCTGACAACCATTAAATATGGCTTGTAAGGTTTTTTACACATTTTAGAAGTGTCTGAAATTATTGGTGACTTGGAGTGAAAAGTGATTAACAAGACCATGATGTCCATTGACAGTCCTTGTATAGTACTTGAATGCCAAGAAAAGAACATGCCTATTTGAAAAATTTAGTGAACAGCCACAACACAGTAAACAAACTGCTTGTGGGTTTCACGAAAGATGTAAGCATCTAGACCTGCATCACTTCAAGCTTTCCAGTAGAGGTGAAATGATACATCAAGGTCACGATACGATACGATAGGTCACGATATGCATATTTATGTGGAAATGGCTTGACTAAAATTATTTCACTTTTAAGTAGTGAACTTAATTACAACACATTTTGCGAATTTTGACTGACAAAAATACTTTGGAGTCATTCAACGAGCAGTAATGTGTTTTAGTAAGTGTGTCGTCTTTTATCGATACAGAAAAAAATGTATCATGTATTGTATTGGCACATGAAGACACACGATGCACCAATGTATCATTTCACCTGAACTTTCCAGCCATAATAAGCTGAAGGGCAGTGATTTTGCTGAAATACTGTTCAAAGCAGCGTTAAACCAAACTCAATATCACATTATTGTAACGTTGTCTTTGAAAAATGTGTTTTGAATGCAGCTGTTAATTACTGTATGATTCCTTACCATGGCTGATAAAGAGTTGTCATTCTACATCATGACTATTACCAAGTATTTTGTTTTGAAGATCCCAGAGTATGACCAATGTGTATGCATATTGCAGAGCTCGGGCCAAGTGTTACCAGCGACGCGGTGTGTCCCAGGACCACAACGAAATACGCATAGAGTAGACATCTTAATGTGTTGTCAACAATTTGCACTCTATTAGCCCCACTGATGGTGATGGGATTGTGTTTGATGATGTCTGTGATGCATTTGCAGAATAGTCCCTCTGAAAACAATATTCAGTTTGGTTTGAAAAATATTTGACACAATTTTAGACTGGCTTTGTGTACGACCACACTGTTTTTGAAAATATCCCATGTTTTATATATTGTAAATAGTATATTTTGTATGATTATTTTGTAAACACATCACATTCACAATCTATTGTTGAGATTGTTGAAAGCACCAGTTTATACTGACTTTTGTTTTGTTTTAACAGAACTCCCTCGACCTCCCCCTCACTCTCTAACACGAGCACCCCTAACAACCTGGGATCTCCGTCACACATAGGCTCCCCTCGGATTCTGGAGTCACCGCGGGGTTTATGCTCACCACCCCTCAGCTCACCTAAACTGGACACCTTGTGTCGACTGCGGTCACAATCCCACTTGAGCTCAGCATCGCTGTTCGATTATCAGTCTCGACTGCGGTCACCAAACAACATTGCCTCACCACCAAAAGTGGAATCTCGTCTGCAGTCACCAATTAATTTTGGCGCCACAGTCAAACATGAATCTCGTGAGAGTCTCTCACCTTGTAAAAGAGAGTCACCGACAAAAATATCATCACCACCTGCCAAACAACGGTCACCAGTACCAAGACCATTACCCACTCATCTTCAGACATCGAAAATGTATCCCCCGTTTGGCTACGTCCATCCCATGATGACGTCACCCCTGAGCATGATGGCGGCTGTGCCAATGTCGTCATGTCTGACATTGCCCCGACCGGCTCCATTATCCCTAGCATCAAGTCTCAACAGGAATGGGGTCTCAAACTTTCATCCCTTCGCAAATGTGCCTTCATTTGGTAAGTTAGAATGTTGAGTATCGGATATAGATCCCTCCTGTGTCAGTGAATGTTTCTTTTGAGGGTCAAGTTGTTCTATGAATAAGTCAGCATTCATTACACTGAAATTAAAGGGCTTTGTCCATTGCACAGCCCTATCCCACATGCAGCACAGCAGTTCAAAGTAGCCCCTCCCCCACAGGTACCTCGTTACTCTTACTGTTCTTGTCAGCAGAAACAATTAATCAGGCCTGTCTGTGAAACAGTTTTCTGACTTAGAATACTGCCCACCCAAACTTCAAAATACAGTCAAACACCGTTGTGTCAAACTTTGATGTATATATCTGCATATTGCTTCTTTATCATCATTTTTCATTGTGTCGAACCTCGGATAACTCAAAGTATTTATGAAGGTCCCTTCAACTTCGACACAATGATGTTTGACTGTATGTTAAACTGAGAATTTCTCTTGGTGAATTTGGTGAACAACCTTCTTGTGGGGTTTACTTTATTAATAATTAGTTGAAATGAATGTAATTTAAGTACTTACTTTGCTGCAGTTTCTGAAGTTGACTTGCAGGCCTGTCAATCCCATTTCATTTGTCCTCTTCAGTTCACTATCGGCAGTCAAAGAACTGAGAAACCAAAAGAAAAAACTGCTGTTTGGCAAAAGAACCTAATTTTGGAAGTGTCCAAGTGAGCTTGAAATGGTTCTGTTAATGTTGAACTGCTGATATGATTCTTGTTTCTTTGTTGTTGACTGTTGTGACCTCAGGACACAATCTATCCACTTTCCCGTTCCAAATTAACATGAAGTAGGAAGTTATTTTGTGGTATATGCAAATCTGGACAATTATTAGTATTATTCAGATAATATATGTGGCTCCTATCAATAATCATGATAATAATATGACCAGAGCATGGAAATACAGACATTTAGTCTCCTTTGTGCTGCACCAGTTCTGGACTAGTTTTATCTTGTGTTTAGTGAGTGAACCTCAAGAGGAAGGACTATTCTGAAATTCTGATCCATATGCTCATTTCAGCGTTTTCTAGAATTTGAAGATTTTGTGTTAGGAAATTAGAACAACTAACACAGAAATTACACACTTGTGCAATAACATCCTGGATGCTCACTTCATCTTTTTTAATTGACCTTAAATCAACAATGACAGCATTTTATTTTGTCTGCCCCTCAAATTGCCACAGAAGTATCTTTGAAAAAAGAAAATAGTTGATCTACCTGAGCAGTTGGAAATTCTGACAAATGAGTTCAAGGGCCCTTTCTGAAAATTCTCCATGCCTCTCAAGTTAGTCCGGTCTAAATCATTGTGAATGATGTCAGTCTCCTTTGTTGGGGTTTGTGGATGGGTTGTGTTCTGTTCGTCCATTTCATCCTTCATCCCCCCCGAGGGAGATGTTTCTGCTTCATTGATTAACAACATAAACAAAACATTGATACGGATGAAGCGCCTTGTTCATCTGAACTAACAGCATGAGTTGATCAATGCTTCAGTTTGTTTTATCCTTGTATACATAAGTCCAAGAAACATTGGATGTGTTTTAGTGTATGAGAAATTTTACTGTTAGCGAAAAATAAGGGGACACCCAACAGTGCAAATATTGCAGTATTAATTTATGGAGACAAAGTTAGCAAAGTGAGAAAGAGACACGTAACCCTCGATACCAACAGGATGCCATGTGAAATCACTCCTTTCCATCACTCTCTATTACCCTGGTATCATTTGTAGTGTATCATTCTCATCCAGTTATAAGTTTTCATTAGTTTCTGCTTTGGAGACCCTATTGGCTGCAGGGGCGGTGGGGTAGCCAATTGGTTAGTGCATTCGCTCGTCACACCGAAGACCCGGGTTCGATTCCCCACATGGGTACAATGTGTGAAGCCCATTTCTGGTGTCCCCCACTGTGATATTGCTGGAGTATTGCTAAAAGCGGTGTAAAACCATGCTCACACACTTTTGGCTTGCAGCTGTAGGGGTCTGGTTGTAGAATCACAGTTGTGAGGACAAAGATTATTGCCTGTACTTGCTATATGTTCAAATTGTTTATTCGTTTTGTGTACTCACAAAGGAGTTGAAGAACAATTATTTGTTGTGTCCTTAATGGAGTGTTGTTTTGTACCAGATGATGACCTGTTGCCGATCCTAGCGTCAGATGATGAGGTAGGCGTAAGTATGACCCTTCTCCCTCTTCTGTTCACTGATCTTGTCACACGTGATGTGGTTACATGCATGGATGGGCAGTGTTCAAAATGTAGCATAAAAGTCTCGGGCCTCTTGTCACATCCCTAATGTTAAAAGTTAAAGATTAGGGCTCTGTAGATTCAAATACCACAGGACCCTCTTTAGTTTCAAACACATGGTATTTGTCATTCCGTGATTCAGGGTTAGAATAGGCCCCGAGGAACCCTAATGGTGTAGGAGGCAACCAAATGGATCGCGTAGTCAGATTCAGTGACTTGGTTGATTGCATGTGTAATCGTGTATCGTTGCTCACTGTATCGATCACTGGATTGTCTGGTCCAGACTAATTTATTTATTGCCCGTGTCATAAAGCTGGAATATTGCTGAGTGGTATTGAACAACAAACAAATGGTACAACCCTAATATTAAAAGTTAAAGATTAGGACCCAGATTCCAATACCTTAGATTAAGGACCATAGAACCCTCAAACACTTGGTTTGACCCTTGTATTTTGGAAGCACCTGTTCTCAAGTCCTGTAAGACAATTACAAAAGGCATTAGAAATGCAAGTTTGACACGAGAGTGATATGACTATGTGACTATTTTGTGCTTCTACCATTCTTTGACACACTACATTGACATCTGAGAAAGGTCACCTCAATCAAAGAGGCATGAGTGGGTTGATGGACAAGATACCACAATTCACTGTGCAGAGTTGTATCCCTTACACAAGAAGGATCTGCTCGTCATTGGTTTGAATTGAATCTGTGCTAACATTGCCTTGGTCTGTCAGCAGCATTCTTGTGCTCATCCGCTGAAGTAGTAGATGTCAGTGATCAGTCATCCCACATTAAACTGCAACATTGTGAAACATCTAAAGTACTGATTAAAGTTATTTAACCAACTCCTCGCCCTTTCATCTGTAAACTAGTATATGTGGAGAATTTTTAAATAAAATCTTGAATGAATTAAGTCATGTATATTATATGTATATTATTTCAAATTAATGTGTTGATACATTTTGTTTGTTTATTTCAGATTCCTGATTTTCTCTCTCAGTCAACGTCAATGCTCAACTTCCGGCCACCATCTTCCACAAGCTCCTCACAGCATACTTTTAACCTGTATAGTGATGTGATATCATTAGACTGACATGCAAAAGTCATGGGGAGAGTTTCAGCAGATGAAGTGCAAATGATGAGTGACTGAAATCCATATGAACAGAAGGGATCTGCGTGCATGATGCTGTCAGCACTGACAATTGGCTCAATAAGTTCAAGTATTTCCTGGGCCAAAACATTTTCAGGGATTCAAAAACGTAGTTTTGCATTATCCAGTAGAGGATTTCACAGAGGAAACTGCATGTGTAATAATGTATTGGCAGTTTTCACTATTTTCCATTGAAGTAGGAGGTCTCGTCCATCGGGGTGAAGCTCATCTAGTCACGAGAGAGGATGTAGGATTATTTATTGTAGGTTCCGATGGATGGTACAAGAAGATGGAACGCCACAATCGTGGAAGCAGTAGTGGTGGAATTTTCTGATCGTGCTGATCACGTGACAGATAGTGCCTGCACTGTTATATGGGCAGTTCACAATAGTTTCAATGAGATACAAGTACACTTGAAACAAAGACCATTTGCCTGTTGATCAGAATAATGTGACTGTCCATCTTCGGAACACCCTGGGGGCATGACAGTGTGTCGGTGAGGTCAGTCACCTGTTGGATGTCTCTCGTATACAAAATGGTCATAGCCTGTGCCAAAGTTTGAGAACTGGTCACAGAGGACTGTTTGTCTGCATGTGTTTAGTACGTCGACTGCAGTGAGGAACACAAGTGTTAGATCATGCTGTGTAGCCTCATCACCTCGCGCATCCTCTCGTGCATCCTCTCCTTGATGTCCGACATAATCTGTGAACTAAACAGGGTCAACTCACTACAATCTTATTGTCAATTTGTGTATAATTCTGTACATAGTTTGTGTTTATTTTTTTGGATGACAGAGTCTTTGTATATTTCTATGCTTGTTATTTCTACACCTAAATACAAATACAGATGATGTGACATGACCATGTGTCATGTGACTTGCTGTGTGTCAACTTTCTTGACACAGTGACTTGACCATGCAGCATGTGACTTACAATGTACATTCTCTCATTCGTACACCACAGTTTTGACTCATTTGTAACCATTACATGGTGGTAATGCCTTGCCTCACCTGTAGTGTTGTAGAATACCATCTAAGTAGCTATTTTAAAGGTAGAAATTGTTGAACTTCTTCCATACTTTACTTATATGACTATCAAAATATATTTTCACTCAAAGCTAGTTCTTTAAGGAGATTGTGAGCTTGTATGTCAATACTCACAACCAACTGTTTTCTGCAGCCCCATTTCAAATTGTCATAACAGGTTTGAAGCCTCATTTCAAATTGACAAACCGTTTGAAGCCCCATTTCAAATTGACATAACACGTTTGAAGCCCCATTTCAAATTGACATAACACGTTTGAAGCCTCATTTCAAGTTACATTAGCACACTTGCAGGCTCATTTTAAATTAATGTAAAATTTGCAGGCTCATTTTATATTTAAATAACACATTTTCAGCCTCAGTGGAAGGTGAAATAACACATTTGTAGGCTCATTTCAAGTTAAAAAAACACATTTGAAGCATCATTTGAAGTTACATAAGCTGTTGCCCTCAGCCTGAGGTATGTTCACATCTCTAATGTTGAGTGGTATATTCAGTGACTCCCATACATTTGCACCTGTCTACAGATTAACCCAGATGTCCAGTGTCTGTCACACAACTACCAACATTGCTGTTCATGCCCTGTATATTCCCTGATGTCTTGTATGTCAATCTCATTAAAATCAGATCTTAGTTCTCGCTACCGCAAAACAAAGATCTGAGGACATCCCATTAGGGGTCACGTCAGAACGACCTTTCGTCCGACCAATCAAAGCTTCTCTTACCAGATCATGAAAGTGACAGTCGGAATGTGATTTCTAATCATGCAACGTTGAAAACTTTAACAACGGGTATTCCAAATGATTATTACGGGCTAAACGACTGAATCCATACAATCTAGACCATATATTAGCAATTCCAGAATGTTCCTTTGTTCAGGTTTCAAATTTTTAATCGAGAATTTGTCAAAATATGTTTCGAAGCGTAGTCGCCAATTTGAAATTAGTGCCGTAAAGCATGAGAAAACTGCCTTCTGACTGGCTAATGTCGACTTCTTGACAGTCATTCCATTGGTCGGTCAAAGTTCGCGAAAGGTCGGTCTGACGTGACCAGTAAGAGGATGTCCTCAGATCTTTGTTTAGCAATAGGCAGAACTAAGATCTGATTTTAATGAGATTGCTTGTATGTAGTTGTATATACTGAGCTTGGTCCAATCATCTCCATCCTGGGTAACAAATGGACACACTTTTATACCATTATACAATGGGGTGCTTCTAACCAATCAGATTGCTTTCTGGAAAAGCTAACAAAAACCAACCAATCGGATATCTTCACATGAAATAAGGTAAACTTAAGGTAGTATGGCAGTAGCATCCACTTTAACATGGATGTGTAGCTCTCCGACATCCTTCTGGTACAAACAAACATATCAGGGTGCATAATGACAGGACTTTGTCTCGTGGGGCTATATCAGCTGTTTTCTTGACAATATTTCCCAAGGAATATTTTGAGTAAAAGTTGTATGATGTGTAACTTTCACTCTTGGTTTGACTAAAATTGCCAAAATAACTTAAGTGAGACGGAAAAAAATTCATATTTAGTCTAGTAACAGGATAAGATGTCATCATTTCAAAATATTTTGGGGAATTGGGAGTGTCTTTACCAGAGAAACAATAAATGGTGCTCTCATGAATACCCTGTTTAAACTATAATGTACATGGAAATACATCACTCATTTCATTTGTTGTTGTTTTCATGAATGAAACGGGTCTATGTTTAAGATTTGTATATCATCATGTATTTATTGTTTTTGTGTGTGTCCAAGGTTTGTATTGTAAGCATTCCAGCTGGGCCTATATGCTAGTAAAGTGATGCTGTGAAGCATTTCTTCAGATGTGAGTTGAAGAGGCAAGTATAATGCCTTGGCTTGTCCAGCTCTTGTTCAGATGTGAGTCGAGTACCATGCTCTGGCTTGTCCAGATGTGAGTCAGGTACCATGCTCTGGCTTGTCCAGATGTGAGTCAGGTACCATGCTTTGGCTTGTTCAGATGTGAGTCCGGTCCGGCTTGTTCAGATGTGAGTCAGGTACTACGCTTTGGCTTGTCCTGCTGTTCAGATGAGAGTCAGGTACTACGCTCTGGCTTGTCCAGCCCATCGGATGTGAGTCAGGTACCATGCTCTGGCTTGTTCAGATGTGAGTCAGGTACCATGCTCTGGCTTGTCCAGCTGTTCAGATGTGAGTCAGGTACCATGCTCTGGCTTGTTCAGATGTGAGTCAGGTACTACGCTTTGGCTTGTCCAGCTGTTCAGATGTGAGTCAGGTACCATGCTCTGGCTTGTCCAGCTGTTCAGATGTGAGTCAGGTACCATGCTCTGGCTTGTTCAGATGTGAGCCAGGTACTACGCTCTGGCTTGTCCAGCCCTTCGGATGTGAGTCAGGTACCATGCTCTGGCTTGTCCAGCCCTTCGGATGTGAGTCAGGTACCATGCTCTGCTTGTTCAGATGTGAGTCAGGTACCATGCTCTGGCTTGTCCAGCTGTTCAGATGTGAGTCAGGTACCATGCTCTGGCTTGTCCAGCCCTTCGGATGTGAGTCAGGTACCATGCTCTGGCTTGTTCAGATGTGAGTCAGGTACCATGCTTTGGAATGTTCAGATGTGAGTCAGGTACTACGTTCTGGCTTGTTCAGATGTGAGCCAGGTACTACGCTCTGGCTTGTCCAGCCCTTCGGATGTGAGTCAGGTACCATGCTCTGGCTTGTCCAGCCCTTCGGATGTGAGTCAGGTACCATGCTCTGCTTGTTCAGATGTGAGTCAGGTACCATGCTTTGCCTTGTCCAGCTGTTCAGATTTGAGTCAGGTACTACACTCTGGCTTGTCCAGCTGTCCAGATGTGAGTCAGGTACCATGCTTTGGCTTGTAGTGCTGTTCAGATGTGAGTCAGGTACTATGCTCTGGCTTGTTCAGATGTGAGTCAGGTACCATGCTCTAGCTTGTCCAGCCCTTCGGATGTGAGTCAGGTACCATGCTCTGGCTTGTTCAGATGTGAGTCAGGTACCATGCTCTGGCTTGTCCAGCTGTTCAGATGTGAGTCAGGTACCATGCTCTGGCTTGTCCAGCCCTTCGGATGTGAGTCAGGTACCATGCTCTGGCTTGTCCAGATGTGAGTCAGGTACCATGCTTTGGTATGTTCAGATGTGAGTCAGGTACTACACACTGGCTTGTCCAGCTGTCCAGATGTGAGTCAGGTACCAAGCTTTGGCTTGTAGTGCTGTTCAGATGTGAGTCAGGTACTACGCTCTGGCTTGTCCAGCTGTTCAGATGTGAGTCAGGTACCATGCTTTGGCATGTCCAGCTGTTGTTCAGATTTGAGTCAGGTACCATGCTTGGTTGATGCTTGTCATCGTATCCCAATTGCGTGGATCGATGCTCATGATATTAATCACTGGATTATCTGGTCCAGACTCGATTATTTACAGACCACAATCATATAGCTGGAATATTGCTGAGTGCGGCGTTAAAGAAGAAACAAACAAACCATGCTTAACTAGTCCAGCAGTTGTTCAGATGTTAGTCAAGCACCATGCTTTGGCTTGTCCAGCTGTTGTTCAGATGTGAGTCAGGTACCATGCTTTGGCTTGTCCAGCTATTCAGATGTGAGTCAAGTACCAAGCTTTGGCATATTCAGCTGTTGTTCAGATGTGAGTCAGGTACCTAGCTTTGGCTTGTCCAGCTGTTGTTCAGATGTGAGTCAGGTACCATGCTTTGGCTTGTCCAGCTGTTTAGATGTGAGTCAAGTACCAAGCTTTGGCATATCCAGCTGTTGTTCAGATGTGGGCTTGTCCAGCTGTTCAGATGTGAGTCAGGTACCATGCTTTGGCTTGTCCAGCTGTTCAGATGTGAGTCAAGTACCAAGCTTTGGCATATCCAGCTGTTGTTCAGATGTGAGTCAGGTACCCATGCTTTGGCTTATCCAGCTGTTGTTCAGATGTGAGTCATTGGTCTTGTACACCCTAGAACTGAGCTGA